TCCCTATTAATAGTCTCAATTTTTAACTATTAGATCTTATTAAAATTACATCATATTAAAAAAATACATAGAACGAACATATTCTTATACAAATTTAATGGCTAAAAAGTAAGAAACCAGTAATAATCTATGTTTAAACGAACTACTAACGAAAGTCCCTTTCTTTTTCTAATCTTTCTTTTGTATATGTTTATTTTTTCTTATTTTTATTCTTCTTTTATTTTTTTCTTTAGTGTTATTTTAATCTTTTGCCATGTGCTCTTTTATAATTTAATCTTCTTACAAAATACTTCAATGATTTTTTTTCATTCACTTTACTCTATTTAAAAGAATTCATTTTATATGTACCTCATAAATAATTTACCATGTGATATGTTTTTTCTTTTAAATATGCTCTATTAATTTTTTTTTTCTTTTTTACTAAACTCAATTGTTAGGTGAATAATAAATAAATTGTAACACCTCGAGAAATTAAACGGGATTAATTAAGATTTATTAGTGTGCCTAATCTGGTGTAAATTAAATAATTATGTTCATTAAATGTGTCTAATGTATAAATTTAAATATTTTCAAGGGATTTAAATATTGTCAATATTTATATTTTCACCCCAGAAGTGTGTGTAGACACGTTTTGTGGTCTGTTTTCCTAAATATCTTTGATATTTGCCTTTTTCCTTTTTCTCGTTTTCTTTTCTTTCTTTTTCCCTCTTTTCTTTCCTCCCGTAACTCTCTCTCTCTCTCTTAGTTTGTCTCTCTCTCTCTCTTTATCTCTCTCTCTCTCATTCCTCTCACTCTCTCTCTCTCTTGTTCAATTTGTCACCATTTCTTCTGAATCATGAACCAAAGAAGAACTTCAAGGTGTTTTCAACATCAAGAGAAGGATTTGAGGTAAGATTTCTGAAAAACTTCTCTTGAATCTTGAATTTGTTTGTTAGAAAAATCTATTTTTAGTTCGAAATGGATTTTGATGGATTTTGGGTAAAATCACGGTGAAAATTGGAGAAAATTGGTTCTTTGGACTAGATTTGTTGTCTGGAACCTGGATTTGTTGAATTTCTTTGAAAATATCTCAGATTGGAACTCGGATTTGCAGGTTTTGACCGGATTTTCTTCGGATTGGCCATGTCGGTCGAGCTGTCTAGCTCCCACCGGCTGACCGGTCCGGTCGACCGATTCCCTCTTCACCGGCCGACCGGTGAAGAACCACTTCTCTATCACCGGTCGACCGGTGTACACGTGATTTGAACTTGTTTTGCTAAAAACCTTGTTTTGACCCTGATTTTGAAAGAGAACCCAAATTAGTTTCATTTGGGAACCTAAAGTAGATGGATTAGCATCTTTAATCCATGTTTTGAGATCAAAATCCTTGGAATGATGAATTGAAACATAAAATGATTTATGAAACTTGGAATTGGATTAAGGCACACTAATACGAAATCGAAGTGTATAATTGAGATTGATCAGCTTTAGGAATGAGAATTTAATCCTAAAACGTTGTTTTATGTAAATGATAGTTGAAGAATCGAATTGAAGGCTTCGAGGAAGCGGAGGCTAGGATAGCGCAACGCTAGCCACAGGTTTGGTGCTTAAGAGGTAGGATTTCCTGTCATTTTCTTTGATAGCCTATTTTTAAAAGAGTTTTGGCCTTACAAATATTTTAAAGAAATGACATATTTGTGAAAGGAAAGCATTTTAACACAATAGCTTGATTTTAGCTATTGCGATTATAATGAACTATTTCAGAATTTTAATGAATGATTTCTTAAGATAAGATATCTTGCCTGTTGATGGCCTAGATAGGATATGGAGATCGTATCCTTAGAGGTAGGACCCGAAACCCAGACCGGGTCACTACGGTGGTGATAAGGCATGTGCTTGTAGTTGTGTAAGTAATTTATCATAGTATTAATTACTTGCTGATGCCTGCAATGTGAAATTTTTAAGTATATATTTTCTTTTAGAAAAAGGATGTTAGGTTCCGGCTGTTGTGTTAGAACTAAATATCTTTATTTACTTACTCATTCATTTATTTACTTGTTCATTAAGTTTTATTTCAAAATACATCCTGTTGGGCCTTCTGCTCATGTTTTATTTTATTTTTATAAATATTAAACCCCTCTCAGGTGACGCTAGGAGCAGTGCTAAGTAGCTAAAGTAGTTGCTACCGTCTGATCAAGTGAGGACAGTGCCCACTACCCTTGTGTACAAATGTAAGGATTGTAAATTGTGGAACTCTAAACCTTAAGTTTCTAGACTGTGGTTGATGTCTGTAATGTTATTTACATGTTCATGTATGTACAATATTGTATATCTTGTGGGTGAAACCCTGAATGATGCCAGAGGCTCAGCTTTTAAACTTTTTTTATCAGAATGTGTGAAAGTCCCCATCACTTTCTTGTAATTTAATTTCAAAAAAATGTGGGGCTTGTTTAGAAATTTCTTTAATAGTTTACTTTTGATTTTGATTATTATGTTTCAAAGGCCTCGTTCACTTCACCGATTCGAGTTTTCAGTTTTAGGTTTCTATAGTAAAAAGCTCTCAGAAAATGTCACATCTAACTTTTTCTACTACAGTTAAAAGTTCTAAAAAATGTCACATCTCAGCTTGAATTGAAAACTTAAATTCGCGAAGTGAACGAGGCCAAAATGTTTAATTACTTTCATAATCATGTTTAACATCTAAACGAGCCTCCATGTCACTAACCCCTATTTTGGGGCGTGACATAAATACAACTAAATGTTAAAAGAAATTTTATATTTTCATATAAAAAATGTAACAAATGCACGCACAGAGCGCATGCTTATATAACTAGTATTAGCCAAAAAGAGAAAACTATTCCCTTGATCAACAAATGAGAAAACATTAATTAAAATATGATGCAAAAAAAAAAAAAAAAACCTATTTCCCATGCAAAACTTTAATTTTTGTTTTGTTTTTGTAAGCGACAATTAGTTTAAACTAAGAAACTCTATTTCCCATTAACATTAATTTTTGCTTCCCTAAGAAAAGAAAAGAAAAAAAAGAGAAAATTACAAAATTTATCTTTAAGAATGTATGAGTCTGAATTTTTACCTTTTACTCTTAATAAATACTCTTTTGTTAATGTAATTATTTAACTAAAAATGTTATGAATCAAGAATAAAGAGTAAAAATTCTGATCCATGCACTTTTAAAGAGTATTTGTCCAGATTACCAACAAAAAAAAAAAAAGCATTAATCTTTGCAACAATGTAGTTAGAGAAGTTCGTTCCAAATCAATCCATTATTATCTTAAGGAAAGGGTGGTCGTAAATTGATCTCAAAAGTTTAATAAAAGCAATCAATTTAAAACACCAGGCTTAAATAATTAGGAAACGACAATCAAGAAAGCAGATATATAGGGTCTGTTTGGTAATGTTTTTAAAATAATTTTATTTTTAATATAAAAGTAAAAATAAGATTGTTTTGAGAATCGTTCTGAGATTGATTATGAAATTGCGTTTGGTTGATTTTTTAAAAAATTATTTTGAGTATAATAAAAAAGTGAAATCATGTTTGGTTATAATTATTAATTAATATATTATAACATTATTGATAAGTACTAGAAAATGAAAACAAAAAAGGAAAAGCAACTTTCAATTATTTTCTAATTCATTCACAAAAATCATTCTTACTGTTTTTTTTTATTTTTATTCTCGTTTTCAAAACATTTGCTAAATAAACACGGTTTGTAAGCTGTTTTCATTTTCGTGTCTCAAAAAATGTGCAGAAACGTTTCAAAAACAATCTAAAACCAATTCCAAATGCAGCCATAGTTTAAAAAGTTAATATTCTTTCACTTGAGATCTTTTCTTTACACTTTCCCCAAATCACCCATGCGCAGCCATGAACTTACCCCTACACAGTGCACAACATACTTGTATCGATACACCTTAAACTTTTTGTTCTTTAAATAAAAATTTTTTAATTTTGACAATTTATACTCCAAACTTTAAAATTAACAGCAATTTAGGTTTAATAGTGAAATAGTCTCACCAAAATAATAGATAACACGAGATTTGCAAATAAAAGACAAAAGCTTGTCATTTTTCGAGAATTTGGTTAAAATAACCAAGTGAAAAAGTAAAATTAAGAAAATGACTTTTTAATTTTAATTTTATTTATTACCAGAGAACGTTCCTGGAATCAATGGCAAATCACAGATCATAGAATATCAACACGAAATCAGGCAAGATTGGGGCTGAGCTGGCGGCGGCGGCGCTAGTAGGTTGTTGCCAGCGGGATTTGCAGTGAGAGACGGCGGAAGATGAGGATGGCTTGTGGGACAAGGCCTTGGAATCGGGATGGGTGGATTCTCCGGCCATGGCCGAGATTCAGAGCTAGGGTTTGGATTTCTATAAATATATATATATATATATGTGTGTGTATATATATACGCATGAGAATTTAGCAGAGGTTGTGCGGAATTGTGGAGGAGAGAGAGGATAGGAAGTGGTTTAGAAGATGATTTTCTGTTCTGTTTAGGCGGAAAAGGAGAAATTTCCCGGGAAATGAAAATTTTCAGGGAAAGATTTTAGAGAGAGTGAAGAGGAGAGAGATTATCATATTTTAAAAGAAAATTATTTTATAAATAAAAATTTTTAAAAAATTATTTTACTAATAAAACTTTCTTATTGAGTTATTTTTACAAAGCCTCGTCATTTTTCATATTAAGTTATGTGATTTTAACTCATCAATTTGACCATAGTCGTTAGCTATTAGATTGTAACTGCTATTGATTTGAAAGTTTGACAGAACCGAAAATTTAGGGTGTATTATACAATAAACAATAAACAATAAACGAAAATGTTAGATGTGATGGTGCAATTTACTAACTTACCCACACAATTAATAAAAAAGAGCAATTTTGTCCAAACAGTACCAAGAGAAAAAGATAATCAATAATTTTTTTAGAATCAATTAATTAATCGATGAATTAATATGGTCGTGAGAGAGAGAAAAAGCAAGGAAAGAGACACGACTCACGAGCACAACCGGGCAGAGAGAGAGAGAGAGAGAGGCTCTCGTCATGCACAAAGAAGGCCTAGTAAATAGTGGTGACCAAAGAAAAGGAAAGAGAGGAGAAAATCTGAGAATCCATTAATGGGAATCTCAGCAAAATCCAAGAACTCCAAAGAAAGTTGGGGAATGGGTCTCCTTCTCGTTTTCTTTCCAGAGGATAACAACAACAACAACAACAACAATTCGACCGCCATTAATGTCAAGAAGAACAACACCAACAAGAACAACAAGCTTTTCTCTTCTTCCTCTTCATCTTCTTCGATGAGTAGAAGCAATTCGAATCGTCTTCTTTCCAAAGCGCAATCCACCATTTCCATTTGCGCTCTCCTCGTCTTCATCACTCTCCTCCTCTTCACTCTCTCCACCTTCGAGCCCAACAACCGACACTCCCACGGCCGCCAGATTCTCGCCGCCAATTCCAGAAGATTCCTCACCGAGCATGGAGAATTTCGTAGAAATTCGAAGCGCGATTCTGATTTCTCGTTCTCGAACTGGTACTTTCCAAAAATGTGGAGGAAGCGGAAACCTAAATCAGAATTCGGATCGGTTTCTCGTCCGCAAACGGCTCTGCAAGGTTTGGGAACTCTGTACCGGCGAGGAACCAGAGCCATGGCCGATCTCGCCGTCGCTCATGTCGCCGAGGACGTCTCCGACGACGAGCTTCGGTTGTTCCTCAGAGCTCTTCACAGGTCGGGCGTCACCGCTCGAGCCGACGTCGTTTTGGTCTTCGCTTCTTCGTCTTCGAAGTTTGACTCGGTGATTCGCGACGAGAGTGAGTCGTTCTCCGAACTCGTTCGCCGCCACAAAACGACATCGTCGTCGAAGAATCTCAAGACTTCTCCGTTGAGCTTCGACTTGGCGCAGTTCAAGGCCGGGAAGAAGGAGGCCGGAGAGCCGCTGTGGGGAAAACGAACCCGGAGTGGTTTTGCGAACAACTCGGACGAGTTTACCGACTTGACTCAGAAACTGAGTTATGGCTCGGTGGTTGGTTTCGAGGTCTCTGAGTTGGACCCGGAGAACTCGCTTTCCGGATTTTTAGACCACGTTCCGATGAGTTTGAGAAGATGGGCCTGTTATCCGATGCTATTGGGCCGAGTCCGCCGCCATTTCAAGCACATAACGTTGGTTGACGTGAAAAGCCTTATACTACTCGGTGACCAACTCGGCCTGGTCAGGAATCGGAGTCCCGAGTCGGTTCACTTTTTTGCCAAGTCGGAGAGTTCTAATTCTAAGCATGGGAGGCGTAACTCGGACAAGACTCAGTCCCATTATGCAGTTAACTCGGCCGTTATAACTGGCGGGGCTCGCGGAATTCGACGGTTGTCGAGTGCTATGCTGACGGAGATCGTTCGTGCTGCAACGGCGGCGCAGCAGCACAAGAGGAGGAGCCCGGTGACGGAGGCGGGCATTTTGAACCAACTCATTGGTAACGAGTTCTTGCTCAAGAACGTGGAGGTGATCAAATCGACCGACTCGGTTCCGGAGGTGAGTGAACTCGGCCGCAAGCCGGCCTCGTTTTCGGGACAAACTGTCGTTCAGCGTGGTAATAGTAATGGACATGATTTTAAATCCCTTGTTATGAAGCGCATTTGTTCGTCTGAATTTGATTCTTCTGTTTATAGCGATTGCTTAGTAAAATCATAGAATAAAGAGTAAACAAAGATAGGAAAATTTTAATAAATGTGGCATAAAATTTTTTGTTCTTTACTTTGATTTCTATTGTCGCAAAGTTTTGTTCTGGTTCTTCAATGTATATAATATTTCAGGGATATAAATTTTGTCCTTTCTTTTTCCATGCCCAATGTTTAATGTCATGATTCTGTTGGAAGAATTGAGTTGGCACTAGGCATATCTAAAATGAACCAACTATCAAAATAACGGCCTCTAAAAAAAAATAAAAAACTACCAAAATAACAGGAATTTTACTATGAAAGAAATTGTATTGATAAGATTTTGTTTTATATATCAATATGCATACCAAATTTTGTCTGTTTATTATGTGACCTTAAAAAACATGCCGTATATAAGAGTCTGTTTAGTTTGTTGATTTAAGTTTTTAATTTGAGTTAAGATGTGACTTTATATGAGAGCTTTTTATTGTAATAAAAAAGTTAGATATAATTATTTTTGAGAATTTTTTATTGTAATAAAACTCAAAATCTAAACTCCGAATTTAAAACTTCAAAAAGAAACAGTAATCAAGACCTGAACTTTGACAAAAAAAAATGTTACTCATATTCTATTGAATTAGAACGTTTATATTTTGAATATATATATATATATATATATGGGAATTTAGGATGTAAGCAAATTTTTTCTTTCTTTTCTAATGATTAATAAAAGGTTACTATTATTGACTTTTGTTTGGTACTATTGGAACTTTAACTAGCATCATCACTCATGTTTCGTGGCTGCCCTTTGGCTTTGGCTTTGCTTTGGCTTTGGCTTTGGCAAAGATTCTTGCTTTTAGACCGACCAATATGAAAAGAAAGCCACGAAAGAAACATGGGATTCTTTTTAAACTTTTTTGTTTGTTAATTAAGAGTATGAAATGGTGAAAATTCGTAGAAGTCTTCGGGAGACTTTTGTTTTCTGTTTGATGCTTGTTTCTAGAGAGAGAAAGTGAAGGGGAGAGAGAGAGTGTGTGTTCATGGAGGGAATGTGAGGCAACTACTCGTAGGAAGCGGGGAAAATGCATTGATGAATCCCATGTGCTTCTGATCTTTCTCTCCGCGTTAGAGTTTTTTTTTTCTTTTTTATTTCCGGCTTTTAAAGCGTACATAAAAGGCAGAGAAAACGTATTAATTACGCGCCTTTTTAGTGTTTCTGCTTTCATTTTGCCCGCTTCGCTTTTCGCCCAACTAAACAGACCTTTATTTATTACCATAAATCCACGTTTTTCTCTCCTAAATAATCCTCCTTATACAGTCGACAGCTAGCACATTTTGACGTGACGTCAAATGTACACATTGGTTGGTTATTTCATAAAGAAAAGTTATAACTATTATCGAATCGAACTATGACACGATTGAGATCGATTTATTCACGTATTTCAGACATTGGAAAATTTCCATACCATTATATATATTTTCATTATTGGGAGTTATTTAATTAAAGTAATGTTACACTATAGTCGAGCAATCATACAATCTCTTTATTTTGTATGCGTCGAGGAGTTCTGTTAAAGGAGACTGATCACTAACGTCGAGAAGTGGCGGTGCATGAAATGTTCCCAGGCCGAGGAGAACTCTTGAAAACAAAGGGTATGGGTCGAAAGATCTACTTTAAGCCCTCAAAGGTCACGATGTTGAATTCTACGGGATCAGATTTAAATCAAATCCCGCCAAATCAAAAAGAGATAAACTACAACGATTGTCTGCATTCAAATTTGGAAATTAGATAACTGATAAGGAGAATTCCACAAAATCGGTCATTTAAATATGGAAATACAATTGCCAAATCCCAAGAATTAAGGAAAATGGAGTTATCCTCGGGAAATTAAAGATAATGATTCGAGACTTGAGGAATGCCTATAAATAGAGGCTGAATTCTTCATTTAGTTTTTTAACACACTATTTTACTACTCCAAGCGATTGTAATTATGAAAATATTACTGCATTCACAAGTGGATATAGACAAAGAGTTTCTGCCGAACCACTATATGTTTATGTGTTCTTTGTTTTTTTACAATTATTCTTGATTAATTCGTGAGAGTAGATACGTGAATGTTCCCGAAGAGGTAAAATTCTGAGTTGACTAATTTTTACCATCAACAATTGACGCTAGAAGGAGAGTCCAGACCTAAACAATCACAAATCCAGCAACAACAGCAAACATGCCTCCGAAAAGAACTTGACGGCTAACCAGAAAAGTCAGGAAGGCCAGAATCCTACTGTTAGAGGAAAGAATCCACCAAATGGCAACCAAGTGCGGTTGGAAGACCAACCCAATCACAGGGCAAACACAACAGTAAACAGGGACTCCCAATAAACGCCGCAACTGGGAACCAGAATGGTGACCAATGCGGTGATGTCGAGGGAGTTGGTGATAGCGGGGCCAATAATAACCCTCGTCTAGCAAAATCAAACAGGTCCGTGGGGAGCAAACAATGGGTGGCTAGGAAGATAGCCCTAGAGAGAGCTATAACCCTAATAATGCTTAACAGGGAAATACCCCCTCGCCCACAAGAGAATGGCAATCGGAGAAACGCTGTTCTGATTGAGTCTTCTTCCGCACGCGGTGGAGACCTAAGAGAGCAATTGAACGCTTGACGTGAGCGAGAGTCACAACAGACCAGAGAGGAAGAGCTTGTGGCTGAACATAGGGCTTTGGCTGAAAAGATGGCCAAGCTAGAAAAACAGATTGGGAGCCGCTTAAACAACTTTGAACAAGTTGTTGGAAAGGTAGCCGAGTCAGTGAATGTCGACGCCAAGATGTACACATCACACGACCACCCCTTCACGGAGAACATTATTCGAGTCCCGTTGCCAAATAAGTACACACCACCTCCCATTCCACAGTATGATGGAATGAGTGACCCGGATAACCACTTGGAAGTCTACATAGGGCATATGGTCCTCCACGGGTATCCCGAGGAGGTTATATGTCGAGCATTTAGGAATCATCTCTCCGATTCCGCCAAGAGATGGTTCAGCCTAATTCTATAACAAGCTGGGATGACTTGAAGAATGCCTTCCTGACTCAGTTCATAGGTGTCAAAAAGTATATTCCTCTGAAATAGAACCTTTTGAGGGTTTACCAGGGGCCAAATGAGTCCCTGAAAGACTGGTTAGCAAGATTCAGGGAGTAGGTAGCTGCCACTGAAGGAATCACTAATGAGGTAGCGCTGATGGGAGCTTTGGCGAGCATGAAGAAAGACATCCCGTACAGTACAGACCTCGATCGGAGACCACCTTAGACATATCAAGAATTCCTAACGAGAACGCAGGGATTCATCAATGCAGAAGAGGCCAAAAAGGCCTTAAAAAAGCAAAGTGGTGGCTCCCACCAACGAAGAAGCTGGGCAGTTGAGTAATCAAAATAGCGATAAACAGCACCGAGGCAATCCTCAGGTGCAAGCCGAGCAAAAGTACAATCCTGCACCGACTACACATAATCGGGGCAATAATGCTCCCATAAATTAGGGAGACGCAAAGAGGTTCAAGCCGCAAAGGTACGACACCTACACTCCTTTGACCATGGGAATTGAGGATGTGTTCCACAAGATAAGTCATCTCCAAGCCCTGCGTCGACCACCACCGCTCAAGTCAGATCCTGCTAGGAAAAACCATAGCAAATATTGCAGGTTTTATGGCGAGAGCGGACAAACAACCACCGAGTGTTTTGACTTAAAGGATGAAGTCGAGAGACTGATCCAAGAAGGGAGGCGCTATGAGTACAGAGTCGACCGTCGAAACAACAACAACAACCGGTGAAACAACGATCGTAGGGATGATAAGAGGCAAGATAATCTGCCAGAGCCAGTTGGTGTGATTAGAGCGATCTTCGGGGGACCTCTCCTTGGCACTACCTCTCGGCATGTACAAAAGGAGTACGCTAGGGAAGCCTGAGAGAAGTTCAACCGGCGTGTCATGACCATATCTAGTCAAGAAAAGAAAGTTGCAAGATATGAGGAGGTTGAGATAACATTCTCTAAGGCAGAGGCCAATGGCGTACATTTCCCATAGAATGATGCTCTTATGGTTGAAGCTATGATCGGTAACCACACAGTTTGCCAAATCTTAGTTGACAATGATAGTTCGGTGGACATTTTATATGCGGATTACCTCGATAAGATGAGAATCCCCCGGGCAAGGCTGTAGAGCAATACTCAGCCTCTGTATGACTTTACTGGGGATTGTGTTATCTATTGTGATTGGTGTCCTAGAAGCATAAGATGTAATAGGATATTTATTATATATTTAATAAAAGAGTTTATTCATTATTTTATGTGCATATATTTATGAATATTTTATGAATATCAATAAAAATTTCATGATTATTTATGTGACCTTAAACATTGTATATAAGTGTTATATACGAGAGGATAATGTTTAAGGATAATAATAAAAAAGCAATGTTCATGGTGAATTTAATTAAAGTTCAGAATCTTTAATTAAAACATTATTAACACATGTCATTCCCATTTAGAATGGAACGGTGTTATCCGCACTGTTAATATGGTGAGATATTGAATGAGTGTATTTCACATAATGAGATTATGTGGAACAAGGACACAGACACAATATGACTTTCGAATAATTTCCGTTAAGTATAGAAATTCTAATTGAGTCTACCGATGGTCATATATAGAATGATCTTAATCCTGAGTTCTTAACAGACCCCTATTTATGGATTTGTGTTTTTTTATTTACTCGGTACGGATTCTGAGATCCTGAATCCCATTCCTTGTATTTTGGAGACATGATGAACTAGGTAGCCGGGAATGTTATTATACGAGATTGAATCTATTCCTTCTTGAGAAAGAAGTAGATAAATAATTCTCTTGAGGGTTGATTCGGTACTTGGACCAGTAGGAGTTCCGATTCATGAATGTTTTTTATGAGTCACTGTCCATTAGAGAATCAATGGTACTCAAGGATAAAGAAGTAATTAGAGAGGTTAACAGATTTTACCTACTCTAATTATGAATTATTTATGGAGGATACGAGATGGAATCCATTCCTTCTTAAGAAGGAAGTAGATAAATAATTCTCTTGAGGGTTGATTCGGTACTTGGACCAGTAGGAGTTCCGATTCATG